TTTCAGAGCTTCACTCAGACCCTCCTCGTCATCGGCTTCCAGAATCTCGTAGGCCGGTGACGCCTGGCACACGAGAGCGTGGGCAACAGCAAACAGCAGTACCAACGAAAGACTGTTCATTGTCAGGTAGTTTGCAATGTGGGTTCACTCACACACGTCCTTCTCTGTCGGTCTGTGATTTGACTTAAATAGAGCATCTTGCATGTGGGCGTGCCTCCAATTGCGTGTGGACTTCATTTTCGTCAGTAATATCGAGGTCGTAATTTTTAATTGGATGGGGGCCGGTGTACCTCCTGAGTTTGAATATAGACAAGAACTGTTTATGCTTATACTACTGGCTTGTTTTAGGGTATCAAATAGGCCTGTTCCGCGCACACTTGACAACGTCTTCACTCAATAAATTAAGTTGAGTTACTTCGGATCCAACTGATTGGGCTTGTCATAAAGGTCATTGCAGTCCCACTGTCAGTCCTGACAGGAGGACTCAGTTTTTTCGTCAAGTGGCAGCCTTCCTGTCTACGGCTTTTAGCTCACCGTGATAGATGTAAACGCATCAGAAAGCCTCGAGTTAGGAATGCGATGACTTGCCCCGGGGATTGTATACCCTTAGTCGACCTCACCCTCTCCTCGCTTCCACCTGCACCAGTCGATTATCCTATTCCGTTTATCAACTGATCTTGCGATCGCTATCAGTGGCTGATATAGCCAAGCAGCCTGCCTATGCGTTCCGGACAGGATCCGCTTGCCTTCTCCCGCCGCACCAAAACTCACCAGGTTTAAATGCAACGGCAGTGGGAATCTCGGACCTCAAATACGCTAGGGTGCCTTAAATTCCGTTGAAATGCTCTAGTCGACAACACAGACATTCCCAAATCAGAAGTGACGGAAGGCGGAATTGGCCTGGCAACCATTAATTCTTAGGAAGGGCAAAGGGACCTCATCACAGGGCTTCAGACCCACTAGTCTTAAAAGTGCTCAGCCTAATTTGGTGAAATGTTTATTAAAAGGAGGAACTGAGACGCCTCGATACAAAAAGTCCCCTACGAATGCATCAGCTTACCTCAACAATTGGAGGATATTACCAGATCTGACCGTGGATTCTAGTGGTAAAACAAACTGATCTGCAGGAGTGAATTAACCAGTGGCCGTCCTCTACTATGAATACAGTGGGCTTTTGTCAGTGTTCAAACGTACCGACCAACAATGATGTTACATATCTCAGTGAACATGTCTGACATGAATGCCATCGTCGGCTAACAACAGGGTTGACCCAAAGACGAAAAATATAAGATTCTCTGAAACCACCAATTTAACATCACGTTCCACCCGTCGAGCAACCGGCTCACGTCATCGGAATATTCAGAGCCGCATAAAAGCTGTGTGCACTTATCCGTTGTGCACAATATTCCCCGCGACGATTTAGCCAGGTCAGTGGACGGTCATATGTATCATTTACTACGTAGCCTACTAACTTTTCGGAATATCGAACTACTACTGGTTGGGGATTCGCATCGTGCAATTTAGGTGGAGAAACGCAAGCTATTTTTTCAATTTATCGGAGGTATACTTCTAAACTAATAGTCCCTGTTCATATGCCATTATGTAGTACCCGAGAATTCCGTGCGTAGGACTAACTGCAGAAGGCGAATCGGGAATGCAAACACTGGTAATTCCATATGAGTTTACTCATGCATCAGAGAAGTAGGGTGCCAGTTATTCCGTCGACGTGTTGTTATCGACAACGCACAGACATTCCCAAATCAGAAGTGACGGAATGCGGAATGGGCATGACAACCCTTACTTCTGAGGAAGTGCGTACACGAGAATCTACAAGCCGTCCCCGCTAGCGGTCTCTCCAGCCGATTTCTTCTCTGACTGCCGTCGAGGTGTTTAACCCCCAGTGTGTGTGCGTTTTCGCTTTGTGCCTGTTGGCGTCCGTTGGCCAATCAGAGAAGGGGCAACGTTGGCTGGCTTCAAGCATTCGCGAGGCTAGTGACAAGCCGCACGTGGTCCCAGTAGCGAATCTACTGGGAGCGTCAGGTGAACAGAAATGTAGCATGATCAAGCAGCGGTTAATATGGAGGCGCGAACTGCTATAGAATTCCCGGCTAGACCGAAGTCGGCGTGAAGCGGTGCCGAAAGAAATGTTCATATCTTAAATTCATAAGTAAACAAACTGTCAGCAAAATGGTCAGGGCGTCCACAACGGACGATACGTGCTGGTTTCACAGTTAAAGACCGAGCATTTCTCTCAGCCTCAGTGTTGGAGATTGATAAGACGGTATTTGAAGTTGGGCGTGGCGGATATGGCACATTGACGTAATCATTATCAAAAAGAGGAACTGATACGCCTTGATGCAAGAAGTCTTGTCTGAATGCATCAGCATGGGTCAAGAGCTGGAGGAAATTACCAGATCTGACCGTGGATTCTAGTGGTAGACCAAACAGATCTGCAGGAGTGAATTAACCATTGACCGTCCTCTACCATGAATACATGGGGCTTTCGGCAGTGTACAAACGTACCGACTAACTTGGATGTTGAAGATCTCAGTGGACATATCTGAAATGAATGACTTCGTGCGGAGGACTTACTGCAGAAGGCGAATCGGACATGGGGAATGCAGACACTGGTAATTCTATATGAGGTTACTCGTGCATCAGATAAGTAGGGTGCCATTAAATCCGTCGAAATGCTGTTGTCGACAGCACAGAGATCATAAGAGACGGAAGTCGGAAGGGGCATGAAAAAACTTTACTTCTGAGGAAATGCGTACACAAGAATCTACAAGCAGTCCCCACTAGCCCTCTGTCCAGGCGATTTCTTCTGTGATACTGCTGACACTGCGTTGGCGGTAGGTTCTCACTGAGGTGTAGAGAGCTCATCGAAAATCTTGCTTAGGAGCAGCAGGATATTACCAATGCAGAGCGGTGTTGCTGGTAGTAAGCTTAACAAATCTCTAGGATTGTGGTAAACAGAGGCTGTCCAATACAAGGGAGCTTTCATCGTTGTTCAAATGCACCGACTATCACTGATGCTATGGATCTCATGGGCACATCTGGCATGAATGTCATAATCAGCTACCAAACTTTTAACTGAACTACGAAAATCCATGATTCCGTGAAACTGTCAATTCATTGGCATCGAAATATTAAAAGTCGCGTAGGTGATATGTGCACGTATCCGGTGTGCGGATAGTTCCCTACCACAAATTTCCCGATTGCTGAACGGACACGCAAAGGAATGTGGTTTATATATCATTTAGTACGTAGCTCGTCATCATTTAGACGTATGACACTATCGATGGCTAGCCATATCACGGTTAGAATCTGACTGCATCAGTGATGTTAGCGCAGGGAATCGAGAACCAAAAATATTTTTTCAATGTAGCAGTGATTCAGTGCTTCCTTTCCAGAAAATCGGGTATGATGCAGTTCCCTGACAAAGCAGTCATTCGAAACGCAAATCTGATTTCTGCATAATACGTTTAACTGACGCACAAAACATTTTTTCATAGAAATGATGGGTGTTGCAACAGAGAGAATTCAATTAACGCAAAAGAGATGAAACAAACTCGATTTCCCATTGCCAGTGATGTTCAGTTATTGTATTCTAATGCTCTAATAAAAGAGGTCAGCATTGGAAACAAGCAGAAATAATGATCATCTATCTTAATCAAACGGAATGAATAGAGCCTGTCCTTTTCATGCACCTGGTTCAACATTAGTTTCTTGTCGGCCTGTGCGCAGTTATTCCAAAAAAACATGCATCCACTTGCGAGGGATGATACTTCCCCCGTGATGCCTCGCTACTCATCTACAAAGGTCTCGGTGAAATCGGAGTATATTCTGACATCTACAGCCAGGAAAGAGGTAACAACGGGTGCCTCACGATCCTCGTACCAAAGGCCGTGCTCATATTCACAAAGGTAGCAGAGAGGTAGGTAAGTCTGTACTGAAACTTTTCGAAACGACAAAACCAAAATAAACAACCGTTTTATCCCCTCCGTCGCACTGTCACTGACAGCTACGCGGACAAAGTTACCCGCGATTGGCAGCATCTACGATCCCACTTCCGATGACTTGCCATGACGATCTAATGGACAAGTGCTATGACGACCTCCATTTCTTTATGTCCGCGTTGAATTTTGACAAATTTGTTTTCGTACACAACTTCGATCTGTGAGACAGCACACATCAGGATATCTGGCAGAGAATGCTTCTTCCTCTATGAACATGTCCCTGGTGTGGCAGCCGAATCAATCATATGCAAGACTTCGCAAGAGTAAACTTCACCACCGATGCCGTCATTTGAATACCAAAGTTCGGTACGATAGCGAAAATCGGCCAGCTGATATGCCTACTGAAAAACTGTTGGCCAGGTGCTCGTCAGAAGATGAAATATGCGGATGACAACAAACAACGTTTTCCAAACGATGAGCGGAAAACCGCTTTGTCCAGTCACAGAGACAGTTTACTTCTAAGAAATCCCCAATGAATGAGAATATGCTGCTACCGGATCTCCTCAGGGAATGCGGACTAGATATAAGAAGAGGAATAGACCAAATTTTTGGCCCAAATGGACGAAAGTTGTGAAAAAATACTAGAAAACAGTAAAAAACGGACTGCAGAACACTTCCGGTGCTGAATTTCCGGGACAAAATGCAAATAAAAATGCAAAAATAAAGACTGCTACCCAGTGATTCTTTAGCTACCACCCGAAATAGCACTGAACATCTGGTTAAACACGCAGAGAGCATTTCAAAAAATGCAATTAATTCTATGATAGCAACGTCATATTCTAGAACGTTCCTCGTCTATGCGCTCTTGACTTCAAAATCAGGAGGCACGCCGGCCACCATCAAGTTTACAATTACGCCCCCGAAAGCAGTGTCGATAATGAAGTCCGCACGCAATTGGAGGCACGCCCACATGCAAGATGGTCTATTTAAGTCAAATCGCAGACCGACGGAGTTTGAACCCACATTGCAAACTACCTGATCATGGCCAGCCTGTCGTTGGTACTGCTATTTGCTGTTGCGCACGCTCTCGTGTGCCAGGCGTCACCGGCCTACGAGATTCTGGAAGCCGATGACGAGGAGGGTCTGAGTGAGGGTCTGAAATTGGAAGGACCAGAAGAGCAGGAGGCGATGCAAGAGCAGGCGGAGGAGGAGGATGAGAAGAGGTCAAGTGAATTGAAGGCAGATGCTGAGGAGCTGGAGGCTGGGTTGGTTGAAGGCAATCTGGCTCCTGCGCGCAGTAGACGCGGCATAATATGCGTTCGCGTTTGTTCTCGCAGAATTTGCAGAGTTGTCTGTAGACGTGTTTAACCGCACACACGCACACACACACTTACAATAAAGATCCTGTTTTGATTAATGAGCCATTTATTCTTGCTGTGTGCGAAGATACTCGGGCAGTTCGGAGGGGCATTGCGGGATGAGTAGGCTGCAATCAGTTTTGTTTCGGTTGAACTAATTAGCCAAAAGCAAGGAGATGGGGCATGCCACCTTCAACTCTTCCCGAGTGTGAATTGCATCAAAATCATAAGCTTGCCTTTTTCACTGATTAATCGATTTGATTGCAGTCCTCACCAAAATACCATGCAGCCTTGATGCATCTCTGCATGGAACATCATCTTCCCAATTGAGCTCCGGAGAAAGTTTAGTAAAGAAGACGAAAAAGAGAGGAATCACTCTGTGTAATTTTGTAGATGAACGTAAAGATATCCGTGCGGCGGTTATCATTAGCGTTAATTTGTTGCAGCTTGAATGTGGATGCCACAACATTGGAGAACGAGGAGGCATTTGGAGACAAGTTTAGTGATGCATCGAATGACCTTGAAGCAACATTAGATCGGCCACAGACATCGCCACACTGGCAATTCTGTTTGGAATGCGAGATCGATTAGGATGCAGGGAGGCGGAGCATGATGTTTTATAGAAATGAAATTATACATTGCACATCAAAGACGCAGAGGCGACCGTGCTTTTAGCCTCTACGCTGATGGGATGCAATCTAATATGTAGACCCATTTCAGAGTGAGATGTATGTAATTGCTTATTTGTCGCAAATTCTAATGCAATTCATGTTTTTCTGCCTAAATCGATTTTTTTGAATTAACTGAGCCGGAACCAACCCTTCTAGGCCCAAAAAAATAATGGGCATTATGTAAATTATTTTCACACTTAATAATGTCAGTGCGTGATTTCTGTGCTTCGGACATTCTGAGAAATGAAGAAGTTAGTCATTTATTGGAAGCTGTAAAACAGAGCTTATCAATTTGAAAATTAATTCCTAGTACCTTAAGATCATCATTTAGTTTGTGCTATTTAAATCATATGCACCATACCAAAATGCTGCAAAGTAGAAGGTCCTTTTTAATTTCACTTTCAGAATATTTGCCCAAAGTCGATGTCTAACCGAGGTGAGGCTGAACACATCGATGGAGGGGAGAATCCGCATTTTGTAGGAGAAACGTAATCAAACACCCTAAAACTGTATCTGCCAGTGACAGTGAAAGACAAAGCCAGCTGACTGCATTCAATAAGACTCATGCGACAACAATCACCCTGCCCTTAACAGTGTTATTGACGATTCCTCATGCCCTCTTCTGTCTTTCAAGGTCGGTGTTCGAATTTGGAAGTACCCGAAGAGGATTCAATTTATGGAAGCCTTAGCAGGTCTGGAGAGGAGTAGATTCAGCCAGAAGAATTTTGGGGATGAGAAGTTATAGTAAGCGATAGACATCTCGTCTCCTGTGACAAACTGCTTGACGAAGTCTCCTCAGATACAGTTTGATGTGGCTCAAAATTTCGCTCTGAGATGGGCATATCCCAGGTCCTCTGGAAAAACAACACTCGCTAAGAGCTGCTAATTTTATGATGTCACTTTCCTCCCTTGATCGTTTTTGCCTCTAAACACTGGATCATATCTCGTGGGACTGATGCAAGAATAATCATTTTGTAGAAACTGAAACCATTTTTCAACTCAAATATGTGAAGAAGGCGTGTCTTTTCAATTTAACAGGGTTTTATAACTGGTTTATTTGTTAAGCTCAGCCAATGCTCTTGTGAGCGTCATGTCTAAAAGCAAACTGCTATGCCTATCTTGCCTAATTATCTGGTTGGATAGGCGAATATGGATCTCCTCATTACAGGTGGTCTTGTCCCATATTACATAGGGCGAGAATGGTTGTAGTTACGGCTACGGCTTTTATTGTGGTTATGTTTTGTTTTGGGAGAATTAGGATTAGGGCCAGGCGTCACCGGCCTACGAGATTTTGAATGTCATTGACGAAGTCGGGGTTGACCAACTTGGTCTTCTGGATTCCTTTTTTCCGCCTCCCCAATACTGATATTCCGTAGCTTCTGGACCTCACAAGAGTGCTGTAAGTCAGAACTCAAATTTTACGCATAACTCTAATTCTTCCTCCTTTCATCAGATCATGCTGTGCACATAAATTTCATACATTAAACTATGCCATGAAAATAACCGAACATCTTATCCACAACTTGTTTTTTGATTTACGCCTACTTATTAAATATGCTCGTGTACCAGTTAGGCTATTTCAATGCAGAGTTCTCTATAAAGAGCAACTTTTACACAATATAGGTGAGGCTAGACTGCTTTGGATTTCATAAAGGAATTCAGAGCATGTTGTTTCGCCGCCGAAGACTGATGGTAGAGCAAGTATTTATAAGTGAATGCAAACCCTATTTCACTGGTGTGCGTTAAACATCACAGTTGGTTACTCTGTCAACTTGTGTGAATCTGTCTCTCCAGTTAATTTTGCTTGCGACGCACACAACAGAACAGATGTTCGTCAAGACTCTGTCGTTGAAACGGCCAAAATTAGCAACAATGGAAACCAATCAGTTCTCTTGGGTTAAAGCAATTAACTTGGCCAGTTTTACGTGAAAAATGAGGGACTCACACTTTATTGGCATGTCACTCTTAGATTAAACACTAAATATCATGTGATATGCAACTAAACTATTACGTGATACATCTAGCAAAACGTGGATGCACGGGAAATGAGAGAGCACGCAACTTGTTTTAGGTGATTTTAAATACTCCGAAAAGTATTTGCACGCAGAACTGCACTCTTGCGCTTGCAAGGCTTCTTTTTCTGCAAAAGCATGTTTCGGGATACGATCGCTAACTCATCGTACTGATCGACAGTTACATTATCAATGGAAGGGGGTGCTCACCAATCGTTCATATGGAACTCACTCGTTCCGTTGTGCCTTATGGACTCTCTCTCGAGCCCAACCAGCAGCCGCACAGCGGCGCATGATATAGGCAAAATGATATTACCGACAAAGACAAGGGAGTCTGGAATCGAAGAGCGCCCCTACCATTGTATATTCCCGATCGAAAACTGACAGGACAACGGGCCTGTGGCCTGGTGGTTTTAGGCGTGGACTTCTAACAAACAGGTCGCGTTGTCCAACCTCGGGTGTTCCACACTTCGGGCTTGGGTATGACTTGCTGACGACGGCTAATAAGCCAGAAAGGGCCATTCCAGTCTCCCTTGTCCTTGTCGGTAATATCAGTCTGCAGTTAGATTATCCCATAACATGGCAGAGTTTAGGGCTGTCAACTTAGGTGCCGGGTATAAATTTTGATATTTCTCAGTTCTTACGGTGAACTGTGTTTGGAGTGCGTTTTCAGTGTCTTCGAAATTGCAAAAAAGCAGATAACAGTATCTGCTTTTGTAATGCGAATAAAGCTTTTGTCCCAGCAATCCTGGCTCATTCTTCACGACTGCTACTTGGGACTCGCCTCTTAGCTTCTGTTAGCTTTGAAATATTTTTGGAAATATATTTTGGTTCTGCTAATTCTTCAGCTACTTGACATAGCAGTACATGTGAGATCTCATTATGTACAGGTTTCTTGGTAGATCCGGCTAATTCAAATCTGCCGAAGCCAGCTGCTGTGTTAATAAGTTAGTATTTGACGAGCTGTGACAGTGGACAGGACTGGAGGCGTGGTTCAGTGCTGTGGACACGTTAAAAAAATTCTGAGAGAAGCTGGCTTTTCGAAGGCCATCGCTCACAACTTGGTTATTTTTAGCATTTAGATCGCCGGATGATCATGATTTAGGGAGAATAGCATTACAGACACACGACTGTCTAAGAGAGGATAGGTGGCAGCATCAATGGAGCCATGAATTAGATTGCCGAACCTCTGGCTCGACTTTGGTTATACGGACTGAAAAGAACTTGCCGAAACACGGGATGCACAATACGCGCGTATTCCGGCGGACGAAATTGGCAATCGTGACATGATAATCCTTTATAATGTGGCATCTATTGTGCTCTCACGCATGTGTGATGCGAGAAGCCCAGAGTCTTGTGTGGAAACATGATGAGTTGTGTGGATGGCCAGGTTGTGTTTGTGTGGCACACACTTTCGGACTGTCTAGCTCTGTCAGTCACTGCGCCCAATCCAGGCATATGTTGACTGGCGGACTTGCCAGGTCTGACAGTGAACTGGTTTCCGGGAGAGGGAAGAGGGAATGAAGTCGACTGTCACAGAGCATACATATTCCTACCCCCACAGATTCCGATACGCTTAAATCTATCACTTTGATCTAGGAACCGTAGCTAGGAAGGCTGACATCTGACGGTATAACTGAATCCTCATGTCAGAACGGAGATTCAGGCTGCAATGGTTCTTTCTTTCTATGGCAGCTATGGCACTGATATTCAGTTGAATTGGAATGAACCAACCTTCCTTGTTGGGTGAAGACGCAGTCCATTGTGCGCGGAGCAGGTCTATGTGACAAGCACTGACACGCTGTTCACCATTTTAATCCACTACGCTCTCTCCCGTGTCCGGATTTCCTGTGTGGATCTTGGCATTGAGGGCAGGAGTGTGAGGGGGCAGAGGGTGTGCTTGATGCTGCGCAAGTTCACTATCACTATGAGCTCACTCATTTCGAAACCATCGTCATTGCTCTCATCGTTCACTGGTGCACCTATGTATTTGAAGTCTAAAATTTCATTTCCATAAAACATCATGCTCCGCCTCCCTGCATCCTAATCGATCTCAGATTCCTAACAGACTTGCCATTGTGGCGATGTCTGTGGCCGATCAAGTGCTGCTTCAAGGTCATTCGATGCATCATTAAACTTGACACCAAATGTCTCCTCGTCCTCCAACGATAGGGCATCCAGATTCAAGCTACAATCAATTAACACAAATGATAACCGCCTTATGGATATTTTTAAGTTCGTCTACAAAATCACACGGAGTAATTCCTCTCTTTTTCGTCTTCTTTACTAACCTTTCCTTGGAGCCCATATGGGAAGATGATGATCCATGCAGAGATGCATCAAGGCTGCATGGTACATGGGCGAGGACTGCAATCAAGTGGATTAATCAGTGTAAAGGACAAGCTTGTGATTTTGATGCAATTCACACTCGGGAAGAGTTGAAGGTGGCATGCCCCAACTCCTAGCTTTTGTCTAATTAGTTCAACCGAAACAAATCTGATATCAGCCCCCCCCAAACCGCCCAAGAATCTTCGCATGCTGCAAGAACAAATGGCTCATTAATCAAAATAGGTTCTTTATTGTAAGTGTGTGTGCGTGTGTGCGGTTAAACACGTCTACAGACAACTCTGCAAATTCTGCGAGAACAAACGCGAACGCATATTATGCCGCGTCTACTGCGCGCAGGAGCCAGATTGCCTTCAACCAACCCAGCCTCCAGCTCCTCAGCATCTGCCTTCAATTCACTTGACCTCTTCTCATCCTCCTCCTCCGCCTGCTCTTGCATCGCCTCCTGCTCTTCTGGTCCTTCCAATTTCAGACCCTCACTCAGACCCTCCTCGTCATCGGCTTCCAGAATCTCGTAGGCCGGTGACGCCTGGCACACGAGAGCGTGCGCAACAGCAAATAG